TTTTCTCTTTAATGTACTCTCGTCTAATGTCATCAATCTCTCTTTTCTGGTTGCTGCAGAATAATCTGTCTAGCTTCAGTGCCAATTTGCTTGCCTGGTCAAGCTTCATCGATCGTTTTTGAGCAACTGTCCATGACAACAAGAAGCTGTCACCGGTTCAGAAATTGATGTATCTCTAGAGTTGTTTGATGAGCCATGCTTATAAACTCATCGTGAACCGGGAGACGACAGAAAGTAACTAAGAGGTAGTACTCCAATTGCTAGAGCAGAGATACAAAAATAATCGAGCCATGCTTCGGAAATTTTGTCAAGGATCCATGGGTTCAATGCAGTTCGAACGGAGAACGTATCTCAGCTTCGTCAGCTACACTCATTCCTTAATGAGGCTTAGCAACCAATCAAGTCACTCGAAAGATCAGTAGAAAACTGTTTGTGGCAAGTCTCAGAAAGCATGGGAACTGTTGAAGATGGGAGCGAGGCTCGTGATTTTGATCGACTCATTGTATTCTTAGGCAACAGAGTCAGGTTTTTAGAGGTGGTTCAAGGATCTCATCCCAGACCACATAAACTTGAGCGTGAGCAGATGTTCTCAACAAAAAAAAAGCGATCTCACAAGAATGGTTTCTCTTTACCGCAGTAAAGTTCCAAGCTGCCAAGAGAGATGTCCAGTTTGACAGTGTAGGAAATACAGACGGACACCATCCGAACGAGAGAAATTTGCGATCAGCAATAGGATGTGATTCAATTGCTTGTCTGCCAGTCACGGCATTCAGCAATGTCCTTCAGCATCACTGTGCAATACATGTCAGAAGAAGCATCATACAACTCTATATAGCAGTTGAAGCCAACCTAATCGTCACATCACAGCGACAATAGATGCCCTTTTAATCAAACGAACTGGAACCATCATAGTGCTTCCAACGGCAAAGGTCAAAGTTTGCTTGCAGAACGGTCTACTTCATCACTTGAGGGCGCTGATTGACAATTATGCTAAGGCGAACGTCATCACGTTTTAGGCCATGCACCGGCGTGGCAACAGAAGCTCCAGATCGCATAGTTGGAGGGAACCAGAAGAATGATATGTCAACCCATGGGCGATAGTATCTTAAATTTTTAACAAAGCCTGGTAACAATTGCAAAGGTTCTTGTGTGGTGTTGGAAAACATCACGGATAACGAGCATTCAAATATGTAAGTTGCACCACAGACCTACGAAATGTCAGCAGCTACAACTTAGCAGATCCAGCTTTCGACAAGCTCAATACAATTGATCTCATGCTTGGACAATTCGTCCACATACACATATTTTGAATTCAGGGAATGTCAAGGAACTATTTGCTAACTGACACGATCCTTTGTTGGACAGTCTCTGGTGTTGTTGATACCGACAAGAAGTCACATCACGAAAACACTCGCCACGGCATGGAATCAACCTCTCTGACAGCCAGTCCACCACTTTTGGATATATTCCTTAGTAGTAGATGTTGGAGATGATCAAGGGGGCTGGCTGCCGGGAGTCCCTAATGTTTTAAGTTGCCTTCCCAGGACACAAGTGTAGGGACATTTAATTTGCCTTCACAGGACCAAGTGTTGGGACAGTTGATTTGCCTTCCCAAGGCAAGTGTTGGAACAGTTGTTTTGCCTTACCAGGACTCAGTGTTGGGATAGTTGATTTGACTTCTCAGTACTTCAAGTGTTGCCAAAGTTGCTTTGCCTTCCCAGGACTCAAGTATTGGGACAGTTAATTTTCCTTAACAGGGCTTCAAATGATGGGACAGTTGATTTGCTTTCCTAGAACTCTGGTGATGGGACAGCTAATTTGCCTTCCCAGGATTCAAGTAGATGAAGTGTTGGGCGCTTAAAAATTTGCCTGACTGCCTGCAAATTGTACCAATTTTTTTTTGGAAAAACTCTCGATAAAAACTTTATCTGTTATAAAATAGAAAAAAATGTAATTTTTATTATGCAAATTTGTTGAAACCGTTCTACCAAAGAAAATTTGTCTGGTACCTGGTTGTCACGCGTTGTTCCCACCACTATTGTTCATCTTGGGTATAACCTTGTGGGTTTCTTATTGAAAAATTACATCTATTTCTGATCCCCCCACCTGATCCGTCCAGTACACCTACCTTATCTCGAGTTAACTATGGGGTACATTCGCGTTCCAAATCTTGTTTTAATCTGGTTAATCTAATGTAAGGACTTCGACGATGCCGATTGTATAGTTACAGTATTAAGGCACCCTTTTTACATTTTCTAACCAACATTCTTTATCCTAATTAACCCCCCTGTCTAACCTTCCCCCTATCTAGCCCCACTCATTTAAGCCGAAAAACACTTTAAGCGTGTTGGGTGCTAAACCACTCAAGAAAAAACCGGTAGAACCTGTTTTCAAGCTGTGCTCAAGTCGAAACGTTTCGTCAGAACTGTGGGGTACCGCTTATTCACCGTTATACCTGTCTCTTATAGTACAAAATGGGTTTTGGCCAAACAGCACACTCCGGTGATCCGCTCTTGTTGTCACACTGCACTAAACTCCTCTATATAAAGTCCTAGCTCTCGTTTGTCGTAATTTTTATGGGTACTGCAACAAATTTGAGCAAAAAAAATAAGTATTTGCATCTGCCTTCTACAAGTCTCTGCAGTTATTTTTTTTTTCCAGTTTTTCCCAAGCTGATCTCTTATCTGGTTGAATACAGTCATTTAAGTTTTGTTCAGCAAGAGCTAAGTTTAGTGAGTTTGTGTCCATCTCCAGCTCTTCAAGTTTCTTCACATCACAGAGCTTGTCATAGAAGTTAAGTAGAGCTCCAACATTCTCAGTTTTGCATTTTGCAGTTTGAAAAACTCAACAGTTATAGATTGTCGGTGCACAATGATTGATTTTAGCAACTCGACTTCATACATTTCTTTTTCAACCGTCTTCATTTTTTTTAACTAGAGCTCATTGGTTGCCTCGAGTCTTTCATCGTTCAGATATTCTGTGATTTTATGCATGGATCTATCCATGATCTGATATCCATAGGAGGATTTACCTAAAAGCTTCATAGTTTCTGCTACAACTCCTGACAGAAGTTTTTCATCTTCTCTTCTAGCATCAACTAAGTTCATTATAGAAGTAAAAGAAGTAGTTATAACGATTTCATTTTCCAGTTTTGAGCTAGAAGTTAGCATTCACAGAGGATGTTTTTACACAAGCAAAGCTTGTGTGATAGTATGAACTCTTTTTTTTCCACTCTAAGGCGCAAATATTATTGTTTTTTTTTGAAAGTGTTCATTTTGATCAATCAGTTATTGAGTCCAACCAATGCTGAGGATATTAACACAGACTATTAAGTTACAAATAACACTTTTGCTTCAAGGTATCATATATCTGTAGCGTAGAGGTAGCTAAGGAGACCCGCAACAAAATAAGAGGGTTGGAATCTGGGCAGGGTCGGATGTTTTTATTGAACTTTTTCGTATACTAGTTAAATGCGTCCGCTCGATAAATTTGGGCTTGTTAACTGGTAATTTTTTTTTTCATTTAGACTGGTACTGCTAATGCGTCATAATTGACTTCCGTCACTTAGCGTTTTTGTAGACTCTTAATTGGCGTGCGTCCCGTAAGAAATTTCGTAGACTCACAAATTAACTCATTCAGTTTTTCCCAGTAGCGTTTCGTTATATTTTTGCTTGTGTATACGAAGTGCAACTTCGCCTCTGTGTAACATTTGGTTCTCGAATGCATAGTTTTTGTTGTAGTCTCGAATATCATTTCTTCCAACTTCATTATTTTTGAAAATTCGAGGAAAATATGCAAACATCGATTTCAGTTATCTGGGACAACTAAATCGCACTGAATATAGCGAAAAAGAGACTCTTCTTAATTTTTTTTAGAAGGAGTCTGTAGAAAGAGGCCTTTTCTAACGAATTGTTGTCCTAACATGATTTTTGATCTTGTCATTGGTTTTCAAGTTTTCCCTCCACACGCCAAATTTCTTTAGCTTTGAATCTTTTCTCTTTAATGTACTCTCGTCTCATGTCATCAATCTCTCTTTTCTGGTTGCTGCAGATTAATCTGTCTAGCTTCAGTGCCAATTTCTTTGCCTGGTCAAGCTTCATCGATCGTTTTTGAGCAACTGTCCATGACAACAAGAAGCTGTCACCGGTTCAGAAATTGATGTATCTCAAGAGTTGTTTGACGAGCCATGCTTCTAAACTCATCGTGAACCGGGAGACGACAGAAAGTAACTAAGAGGTAGTACTCCAATTGCTAGAGCAGAGATACAAAAATGATCGAGTCATGCTTCGGAAACTTTTTTCAAGGATCCATGGGTTTAATGCAGTTCGAACGGAGAACGTATCTCAGCTTCGTCAGCTACACTCATTCCTTAATGAGGCTTCGCAATCAATCAAGTCACTCGGAAGATCAGTAGAAAACTATTTGTGGCAAGTCTCAGAAAGCATGGTAAACTGTTGAAGATGGGAGCGAGGCTCGTGATTTTGATCGACTCATTGTATTCTTAGACAACAGAGTCAGGTTTTTAGAGGTGGTTCAAGGATCTCATGCCAGACCACATAAACTTGAGCGTGAGCAGATGTTCTCAACAAAAAAGAAGCGATCTCACAAGAATGGTTTCTCTTTACCACAGTAAAGTTCCAAGCTGCCAAGAGAGATGTCCAGTTTGGTAGTGTGGGAAATACAGACGGACACCATCCGAACGAGAGAAATTTGCATATACCTTTTTTGATTTTTTAAATCATTTTCTTTACCTTTTTTCTTTCACTCGAGAAAGTTGTCTCTTTTCAATTTTGTTTCAATCATTTGACTCTCCGGCCTTAGCGGATCACCGATGTTGAAAACATTTTTGATTTAACTATTTATGTGAATGTGAAGTGGAACGCAACGCGTACAGCTCTCGGTAAAAATTCTCGGTTCTCTAAAAAGCAGTTCGCTTGTTTCGTTAACTCCATTAAGTCATTTTTAGCAATGTTAATAGTAATTGTTGATTTTTGTTGCAGGAAGTGGTTTCTTGTGCCAGGTGTGTGTGACTCCGGTGAGAAACGAACAAGATGAAATCGCCATGTTTATTCTCAATTTTGAAGATACCACCAACACTCACTCTACCAGAACTGGTTCTCAAAAATGTAACTATTTTTTGCTGTTTTAATTTGACATCGAATGGACTGCAATGGGCAGCGGCAAAAGAGAAAGAATTTGAATTTAAAAAAGGTTATTCTAATAATTTGGTAGTTTGCCGTTTAAAGGGCAGCTTCTACGAAGCACGGTGAAGGGTGAGTGAGCATGTTTAATTTATTTGTAGCTTGGCTCTCGTCCCAATTATTTGTCTCGCTTGTGATAGTCTAGCTTTTTGTAGAAACAGTAGTGTGTAGTTAATATTTAAAAAATTAATTTTAGACTTCTATTCTAACTATAAATCCAACCTCGAGTTATCAAGTTCAAAACGTGCCTTAATTCATATTAAGTGGCCAGATTTTCAATCCGATTGCCCTCTTCATTTTTTAAAACTTAATTTAACAGTTTGCTTAGCCGATTTGCGTCGTACTGAATATGGGATTACTCATGAGAGTCTGTTAGAAATTGACCTTGCTTTTTTATGGATCCTCCATAGCCTTCAAGCCCTTCCCGCTTGGTCTAAGGGTAATCCAGATCAATGGTCTCCGATCTCAGACGATGACGCGTATCTGCTTTTTGACTTAAAATCCGAGGAGACTTATGAACTATTCATTATCCGAGGAAAAACAATACTTTATAATAAAGTAGACCAAAAAGATTTATGGTGCTGAATTTGCCTGAAAAACTCACCCGTCGCCTATTCGCTGCTTTCAACTTACTAACAGAAAATTGAATGAACCAGAAATGTAAGTTTGAGTCCGAAAATCATCGACTAGAACAATGGGAAAGAAACTTAAGAAATCTCACGGTTCAAATCACTTGCGCCATTAGGAAGCTATTAAAAGGGCACTTGTGTTTTTGCAGTATCTAAGAAACTGAAATTTTGTTTTTCCGGTAAAAATTTAATTGTCAGACTTTCGTTTTCTTGCTCAAGTTTTGTCGGCTTAATTACCACATCACTGGAATTTCTAAGACCGTGAGCCATTTCATTAAATCCAAATTAATTGACTTGAGTGTGCGCGGCATTGTACAAAAGTTCACTCTAAGTCAAGAATTTCAGTATTTAATCGACACCCAAAAATATGATTCACAGTCGATGATCGTAGTGAGGACTTATATTATAGGTCGTGTTGATTTTTTTTCCAGGAGAAATTTCTAACTTTTCAAGTTCAAATTTGATTTTGCGTTTCAAGTTCAACTTTGATTTTGATTTGTTTTTTCAGCTTAGTTGATTTCCTGTATTAAAAGGGAGGCAAACTCCGCTGTCGAAAAGCAAAAGCGTAAAAGTAGGTGAAGTGTGATCTACTTTTAGTTTCGAAATTGGATTTTGGTTTTCAGATTTCCCAGTGAATTTTTTTACCTCTTGATGCAATTTTCTCAAATTGGCTTAGATTTGCCGAAAAAAAGTGTCAATTATAAATTATTTTAGAAATTCGAAGATTCAAGGTCATCAATTTTTTCTTTGAAATTCGAAATTGAAGTTTTTCTAAAGACAAGTGTGTAGTTTTTCTGTTTACTTGCGATCATTGACTCGTTTCCAACTGTCTGTTGGCTATGTAAAGTTTTCAACTGAATCTGTAAACATTTAATGTAGACAGAGTTTCTTTTGGCTATGTTCAAAACTTCTGAGTGTCGATCGGATTAAATTGAAAAATGCTTTTTTGTTCCAGACCTTTCTCCAATTATTTGGTAGGACATATGGAGTTGGGTTGTTTTTTTTACAGAAGGTTTTGACTACCGCAAAGAAAGTACGTAGTGGTAAGGTGTGGCATCAAAATAAAGGCGTATTTAGGGTATCGGATTGAAAAAACTAAAGCTGTGTTAGTGTTGCGAAAAGCTGGTTGGCTTTTTTGTTTTCCAGATTGATTCAGACAACAGTTTGAATAGAAGCTTAACTCCAATCTTCAGTCAGTTTTAATTTTTTAGCAATTTTTCCTCATTTTGAAAAAAAAAATCTTTTGTAAGTTTTGAAGTTAACATTTTGGAAAGATTGGACTAAAAATGATGTTTGGACGCCCAATGAAGATCTTGACTTCTTGTTCTAATTCTTAAAGGTGTTTCAAGTTTGTTTCACATGTGATCTTTTTGGTACAGTTCTGTTGTTTTGGATTTTTTAGTTTGGCTTAGGGTGTCTTTTTTCGATTACGTCTCAAATGGCATAATTCCCAAATGGCATAAAAATGAAAAATTTCCCAAATGGCATAAATTTCATGCAACAGTTGCTTTGGAAAAATTGAGAACAATTTTTTCGTGAACAATGTGAGAAAATTAGTCAAATTGTTAATTCAAATGTTGATTGAGATTTTATCCTGAAAAACTAGTAGAAATTTTTATCAAAAGCAAGAAGCATAAGCTTGCGATTATTAATAAGCTTCTTGTGGTGAATTTTTTTCGACAAATCTGTTGCTTAAATTTGTTTGGAAGCAATTAATTCCAAATCTTGTTCCCATGCTTTTGTTCGTGACAAAATGCTAGAAATATAAATTGATAGAAAACGTTTAATTTACAATGAAAACTTGAAGTTTATGCCATTTGGGAAAAGTTTCCATTTTTATGCCATTTGGGAATTATGCCATTTGGGAAGTTACCCTTTTTTCCAGTTCGCTGTTTAGTATTTGAGAGACAACAAGTGTGATTTTATGTTGAAGCACTATTAGCGGTTAAAAAAGCAACTAAGGTAAGGGGAAAAGCATTTTTATTGCAATTTTGTATAAGTTTTGGAATTCTATTCTTCAATAATTATAGTCGGAACATGTCTTATAAGTTTATAATCTATGTATGAAGTCTTTTTCCTGCAAATTGACCGGAATTTGCGGTCAAGGATTTTTAGACAGGTACCGATAAAAAGCAAAATTACAGCTTGGAATTTTCTCATAGTTGAATAAATACATGAAAGTGAAAGTGCTGAAGAGCCAATTTTTTCGGGCATGGTGTGAGGGCTGAAACATCAAACGGGGATAATTTAAATGGTGTAGTACTGATAATTATTCTCGCTTCTTCAACAATTAAATATGTGAAAGTGCTGAAGAGACAATTTTTTTCCTGCGAGTAAATTTGATGAAGTTCGATTTTTTTTGGTAAAGTTCTGGTGTTTGGATTTTTGTCTTTTTGGCATAGGGTGTCTTTTTGTTCAATGTTAGACACTTCAAAGAAAGCTCAGAAGGTGCCAGCCAGGTATAGTATCAATGTGAAGCGCAATTAGCCGTGAAAAAGCGAATTAGCCGTGAAAAAGGTTTTTGTTAAAATGATTTTTGATATTTTTTGTTCTATAATTGTGGTCCGAAAACTTAGCGCTAAACTCTTCTTTTGTATGTATGAAGTCTTTTCATGCTAATTGACCGGAAGTTACGATCATGGATTTTAGGACAGTTGTCGTTATTGAGCACAAATAGAGCATGGTTGCTTAAATAAATGAAAGCGAAAATGCTGAAGTGACATTTTCCGGGGATGATTCATGTGCTGAAACATCCAACGGGGTTGATTAAAATGGCGAATAGTCAATTTCATTATGAATGATTGCGTTGTACTGATAATTTGTTTCGCTTTTACCAAAAATAACGGAAAATTGTGCATGCTTATTTTTATGCTGGCCAATTTCGCTAATCTAGTTATCAGTTTTTAGCAAAATCGATTTTAGTACAGGATGAAGATATCGAGTACTAAAATCCACCTAAGATTCAAATTGGTAAAATCCATCTTTTTGTGAAGTTCGAGCTTTTTTGGTGAAGTTCGGGTGGTTTGGATTTCTTAGTTTTGGTGTAGGGTGTCTTTTTGCTCGGTGTTAGACACCTCAAAGAAAGCTTGTAGGGTGCCAGCCAGGTGTATTATCATGGTGAAGCGCAATTAGCCCTAAAAAATCTACTGTAAATTTTTTGGAAAAATGAGTTTTTTTGCTAAATGATTTCGAGTTTTTTGTTCAATAATTGTGGCTCGAACTTTCTCGGCTAAAATCTTCTTTTGTATGTATGAAATATTTTTTAATGCTGAAAGATCGTAAGGTGCCAGCCAGGTGTGGCGTCAAGGTGAAGCGCAATTAGCCGTGAAAAAGCGACTGTAAATTTATGGAAAAATGAGTTTTTTGGTAAAATGCTTTTGGAGTTTTTTTGTTCTACAATTTTTTGTTCTAAAGCTCGTAGGATGTGGTATCAAAATGAAGCGCAATTAACCTTAATAAAGAAACTAAGTTTTTGGTTAAATGTTTTTGGAATCTTTTTGCTCAAAAATTGTGGTCCGAATATTCTGTGCAAAAATTTGCTTTTGTTTAGTCTTTTTTCGCTAAACGACAGCAAATTACGATTATGGATTTCAGACCAGTTATCATTTTGAGCAAGAATACAGCATGGTTGATTAAATAAACGAAGGGGAAAGTGCTGAAGAGACATTTTTCGGGGTTGATTTTTTATCTGAAACAAATAACGGGGATGATTTAAATGGCGATTAGTCCATTTCAATATGAATGATGAAGCTGTACTGATAGATTTTTTGCTTTTTTAAAAAATAACGGAATTTTTATGCTTGGTCGTTTTTATGCTGGTCAATTTTGCTGATTTAGGTATAAGATTTTATTAAAAAAGATTTGATGCACGTTTAAGTTATCGATTTTTTGAGTTCAATTTGGTAGGTTCGATCTTTTTGATTCAGTGCGATCTTTTTTGCCCAAGTTTTGGTAGTCTGGATGTTTTCCATTTGGTGTAGGGTTACTTTTTGTTCAATGTTAGACAGTTTAGAGAAAGCTGGTAGGGTGCCAGCCAGGTCTGGTATTAAGGTGAAGCACAATAAGCCATAAAAAGCCATGAAGTTTTTTATGCTAAATGACCGGAAGTTACTATCAAGGATTTTAGAACAGCTACTGTTTTTGAGCAAAGATACAGCATGGCTGATTAACTACATGAAAGGGAATGTGCTGAAGAGTCAATTTTTTGGAGATGATTAAACTGTTGAAACATCCAACGGGTATGATTCAAATGGCAAATAGTGAATTTCAAAATGAGTGATGGCGTTTTTCTGCAAATTTATCTCGCTTTTGTAAAAAAAATATTGGATATTTATGCTTGGTTGTTATTTCTGCTCACCAGTTTTGCTAGTCTAGATAAAAGTTTTCGGCAAAAAGATTTTAATACACGATGAAAATATCGCCTCTTCGAGTTCAAATTGGTAAGTTTGATCTTTTTGGTGAAGTGCGATCTTTTTTGGTAAAGTTTTGATGATTTTGAATTTTTCCATAGCCAGGTGTGCTTTCAAGGTGAAGCGTAAAAATCCGGAAAAAGCAACTGTAAACTTACGGAAAATTGATCTTTTTTGGATAATTGGTATGAAATGGCCCCACCGGAATTTTTATATCATAAAGTTTATACCGAAAGAAAATACTTTTAGTCTGCTTTGTTAGTTTAAAAAAATGAATGCCAGTTTTAATGCAACGGAATTTTTTTGGCTAGATTTCGGCATGCTATTACTCAGAATTGATCCATAGTTGCGGTATTCCCTGATGGTTTTTAAAAGGACAGTCTGGTCATACATGCTTTGAACTGATAGAGCAGTCCAATATAACGCTTCTTATTTTGAAATATCATATTTCTAGTTTTTGAAACTGGTTTTGTCTTGAAAATCGAATTTGGTGGTGCTATTTTTGAGTTAAGTGTTTATATTGTACTCGTATAGTCAAACTTTTTTTACTGCTTTTATGCTTTCACTTGTTTGTGAAATTTTACATTTATTTCCCCAATACGCTTGGCTTTGAACGGAATCCACTTTGTCACTGGGATTCAGTTCTTGTGCTTCGTTTTTGCATGTTGTAGTAATTGTTCATGTGACCTTAGTGGTTCAGGAATGTAGATATCATGGCCCAGGAACAAAATTGGTTTTGTGCCATGAACTAAAAAGCTGCGTTTGTTTCAGTTGGTTCCCAGTTGAAGTTTCTGAAGCCACTGGCATCTCAGTTGCAGCGAAAGCCTACAGCAGAAGGGGACTTGAATCAAGAGAAAGAGGGTCCAGACGGCGCGGCTGAAGAAAGTCAAAGCAACCCCACTCAGGGTCAGAAGGTTTCCGCTGTGTCACACACTTCAAATGCTCCCAAAGAGCCTCTTCTTGAGACCACAAAAAAATCGACGGAAATCACGACGGTACCCGATAGAGAATCGAACAATAGGCAAGTGGAGTTTGAATTTTTATTTTATGTCCAGAAATCGTAAACGGAAGGGGCGGAAAAGGGTTGCCAGCATGAAAATTTCAGCAAATCGATAACCCATTGCCTTAGAGTGAAGCATTAGTGCTTACCGTATAGTATACTTAAAACCGTGCCTTCGTTTCCTTTTTAAACCTTCGCTCTGAAATGTAATGATGATCTTTTTCCATTGTTTTTTGTGGAGTTGTTCGGTAGTAATTTCTTGTCGCAATCATTAGGTTTTCATATTTTAATCAGCTTTCTTAAGTTATATTTTACAATTTGATCATATCTCACTAATTTTTGGGTCTCAGTAGTTTAAAAATGACTCGCTGGTTGATCGAAAATATAAGGCAGTAATTTTTGTGAATGGTTTCTCGAAATTTGCTGCAGCACTTTTCACTAGGACCAAATCAGAGGAAAACCGTCACTATTTCCAAAACGGTCACTAATTGTTATAGCAAGACTGCTCGTATCAGCAAAGTCCTGGCTTGAGTAAAACGTGTGATCAGTTTTAGCTTTTCCTCAAACTATCTGTTTTTTTTTTAGTTTTTAAAATCACTGATTCTCTCTTATAGCTACGTCGGTGTTTAATTGTTGTTATCAGAGACCAGCCGGAAGATTTGAATGGGCAGCGTCAGGTAACTCGCTCTGATCTCGACAAAAGGGGTCCTAATGAACGAAACACCAATACTTGCGACCTTTCTTTGCCGCAGAAACTGGAAGGCAGCGGATCTCCTAGAAAACGTAAGCATCCTGCATCCTTCCTGGAGTAAAGATGCATGTATCTTAATGGCCTGTGAAGTTTCTATGTGTTGCAGATGCAAGTTCAGTTGTGCCGCGTGTGGAGTTTAAAGGGCCCTCTGTAAACAGCAGCTGTGAAGATGCATCTGACACACCAGAACATTTCCAGCTGCAGAAAAAGAAAAAGCCCAGACCACCCAAGAAGATGCCTGTCAATCGGACCAGGTCACATTCCCCCGACTCATACTCAAACGAGGAAGAGACGCAGGGAGAGCAACGTCAGTCTTTACTAGCAGGTAATCAATAATCTAATATCATTAAAAACCTAACCGATTTGGGTCATTTGAATATGATTTTAACGATTTTATAATGGTTCGATTTCGCAGCTGACCAAGAGATGCGTAAGTAGGAATTTAATTTTTTCTCACTGTTTTTCATTTTCTTGATCAACCAAGTTGTTTGCTCGAAAAATAATTTAAATTGATTTTCCTGAGTATCCTCTGCATTTACAATTGATGTCTGTCTGTTTCCGATTGTATGATTTTGAATTGTCTGATAAGTATCAATAAGTGAGTTCTACGGACGAGTTTTTTGTGGAAGCTTGGGGAATCATAAACTAATTTTGACGTATGCAATCGTATAACCAAGTTGTGCACTTGATTTTCAAGAGAAACGTACACTTGAAATAAAATGAAAATCTCGTTAAAATTGAAAACCAATTGAAACGTTTTTTTTTTGTCCCGACCACTTCACGATGTGGAAAGGAGCTATTGCGAAGGGTAAATTTTTTAAACTGATTTTGGATACCTCGCAGAAATCTGGTAGGTGGTCAAGTGTGGCAAATTTGAAAGCCGTTCAGCCGCAAATGGTCTGTTTATTTTCGTTTTTCTTGATGAAAATTTTAGTTATTACTAATGATTTTCAGACTGGAGATTTCAGACTAAGCTTTTAATATAATTCTGCTGTGCGAGTTTTCTAATATGTTTCCAATCAGTGCTCATTGATTCCTTCAATCTCCTCTTAAAGATTATGAATAAACATTTTCAAAAAAATATTTATGGAAACCAGGAATAAATTTAGAAAAAATCAAAACAATAAAAATTTCGGGGGTCAGAAAATGCTGGGCTACTTACACAGCAACCTAATATCCTCGTTTAAAAGGGCAGTTATTTAAAAAGTAGTTGAACGTTGGTTAGTTTAAGATTTCTTACCCATGTGGACCAGCCGATGGTTAAGGAAAGTGACTGAATTCGTGGGATTGGCTATATGGGGATGATGCCAGTTTTGTTGGCTTGAGATGTTACGCTGGAATCAAAATTGTATGTTTTCAGCAGAAGAAAATAAATCGAGCTTTTTTCGCTAATTTGGGTAACATTGATTTGTTAATGAACGAAGTGCTTTATCACAACTAGTTTGCATTATTGTTAGATGGATTAAGTGAAACTTTCTTACCCACTTGGAGCTAGCGGCGAGTTAACGGAAGCGACTGGGTTCGTGGGATTGGCAACATGGAAATAATGCCTGTTTTTATTGACTTGCATACTTGAAATGATGGCTTGATAGTTTGATTTAAGTCGCTTTATACTAAAGAATGAAAGTTTTGTCCAATTCAGCTATTGATAAATTTTTTCATCTGCTGACCCTAGCTGAATCAATGAAAACAAAGTTTTTGCGGGGTCCGCTCTAACTTAGTTCGATCTTTTTCACGTCAAACTTTTTTTTCAGAGCAGGAAATCTAGGAAAACTATCCCATCACTAACAAAATTGGACGATATTGAGCTATGACCTTTGGTCTGTGCTCATAGAGTAATTTCAGATAAGTTGTCGAAAGATTTTACTCATGAATGCTGAAAAAGCTGCTGGTCCTATGGAAATTCCATAGAAAATTCTATTAAATTCGTATTGTTGATTTCCAATAATGAATTGTCTTAAGCGTCGTGATTGTTTGTCTAGTGGATTTTGATTATACGCCCTGTTCATGTCAGCTGTTGTAAAAATTTGCCCATTTATTTAATTGAGAGTTATTTGAATTGTTTCTATAGGCCAATTACATTTAGATTCATCAATAAGTGAATTGAGTTATCTAGCATCTAGAACAATTTCTAATGATTTCCCTTAGCGAGAATGATGACTGGGTTTATGAATGTGTTTCTTTTTGGTTGTTCTTCTTTATTAACTGGAGAAATGATGTAGTATTGTTCTAAGATATCTGGCAATCTATTGACTTTATCATGTAAGTGAATTGGAACTTTAATTGCTCGTTGTTTTTTAAAAACTGCGTCAAGTTTTAGAGGTAGATGAAGTGGTGAATTTACTTTTCCAACATCAAACTTAGATATAGCTTAAACCATTGGGTATTTAAGTAGTAGTTCTGCTAATTGTTCAATTTCTTGTGTAATTTGCGAGTGTTGGAAATTGAGCTTTGTAAGAAATTTCTGTTGTTCAGTGGTATATTCTGAAATTTGAATGTTGGTTTAAACTAGGGTGTTTTTGTAAAATAGTCTGTTTTTTGCTTTGAGTCACTAATTATATTGTTATTTAATGTTTCTTCATTGAGGATTGTATATTGACATGTATCTAATAATTTTAAGATGTTAATTACTCGATATGCTGTTTCTACTGTGGGAGAAATTGTTGCATTGGTTTCACAATATCCTAAAAGTCCCAGGGGTAACGTTATTTTATATGGGGAATTATTGTATTCGAGCAAAGAAATTATATCTGAACTTGTTTTTTTTTGTGTATTTGGTTGATGAGATTGCTACTCGAAAACGTTTATAGCTTGGTTTGAGTTTAAGGTCGGACATATATAGTCGTTATTTATTTTGATCTATGTTGTATTGATTGACTTGACTTATTGAGAAGTTGTATACATATCCTGATAATGGTTTCAGGTGTTTTCTTCCTTGGTTGTATATAGAGTAAAATTTGGAAAATAAATTGGAGGTTTTTCATTTAATCTTCGAAAGAATGTGAGTGATGTTTTATTCTGTCTTGTGTATTTATCCTTTATATGTAATTTGTTTTTAGGATTTTAATAGTGAGGCTGTACTTAGTAATTAATGGTATTCCAACGATATTGTGTTTTATATCTGTGATATGAAATGTTTGTTTAAAAAGTTAATTTTGTTCCGTTCTTCGAGTTGCTGGAAATCTAAGAAAACTATCCCATCACTAACAAAATTGGACGATATTGAGTTATGACCTTTGGTTTGTACTCATAGAGTAATTTCAGATAAGGTACACCGTCTGTTCTCCACGCTATCTTTTTTCGGCCGGATAGATTCGTGCAACTTCTTAGTCTAATACCAATCTTATTCTTACTGTGATATCTCCTAATCTCAATAGATCTAGTGTTTACTGGTTTTCGCGAGTTAGTTCTTGGAGTTTATCCAGAAGGAGAACAACTGAATTTTAAAATTTATTCAAATTGTTTTTTTTTGTGCTGAAATTACAAGTAGTTTCAGCTTTTACAAAAAAGTGTCAGTGTTAGAGATGGAATATGATTGGTTAGTTTGTAATTTTTTATAGTGATAGTTTTATCAATACTATAATTCTATTTATATCCAATTATAAATTGTAGTTTAGAACTGGTTCTAATATACCTGAGGCAATGAGTTTACAAGGTTATATATGAAGGCCGAATGTTCCCGGAGTTCATTTGTTACCATGCATGCAACTTATCGTAGCAATCTACCAAGTAATGAGATTTTCATATTTAAAATCAAAAAAGAGGGAAACAAGAATAAACCAGTTTGTTTAACTGCCTTTTGTCTAAATTACTCTAAAACTTTGGTGCAATTTGGCTCTGACGGCGCCTTCATATATAGTTAGATAGCCAAAATTGGCTATCGTACCCCTAAATCCGCACATGATACTTTCTATCATTTTTCCAACGAAAGCTGTAATCCTTCGTTTTTGCATAGCAACCTGCTAATTTTTTTCGACGGTGGATGAAGTCTGTGTCGTTCAGTCTTTGACGAATTTTTAAGTGTCAACGGAGGCAGCGAAGAAACATATAGGCCATATGTACAGAAGTTAAACAGTAATGCACTTATGAGTAATGCACTTACGAGTGCCACTGTTCGTGTATGCACTGCTTAAACTCAATTTTAATTCAGGTACTGAAGGGATGGCAGTTTACGCGCTCTTACTGCGAAAGTGAAAGCGGCGCGAAAAGATTGGCTCTGGTTTAAGAGTTTAATTTTAAGAAATTCAGCGGGATGAAATTCTATCTATTCTAAGTTTTTTTTTATGCATGATTCACTACCTTGCAATGTTTAACTTTTCCCAACATATTATTTTTGCAGGATTGACAAAATAATTTTTTTTTTCACGCTTAAGCTATATCGTATAATGCAATGTTCGAGAATTTTTTCGGCATTTTTTTTTGAATTCAGTATTTCAACGAGTTTAAAAGTGGGATGGTTTCAGGGTTTTTCCAGGAATTGCGAGTTTGGCCTTCAATTATGAAAACTCAAATTCAATTTAAAAGACCTTCACATTTGAATTTCACAACCCTGCGGTTGGAAGCTGTCAGGGTACCCTCAGGGATTGTAAATCTTGGCTCCAATAATGACTGCTCAAATCCTTTTATTTTTCGAGGTATGACGTTTTATATGATTTTTAAAAAAAAAATTCAGAAAACTTATACTTGAAAAATGGCTTAAATTTTGAAATTCCCAATCCTGTACATGGCAGCTGTCAGAGTACTCTCAGGGTTTGCGAATCTTGTTTTCAAATATGACTGCTCAAGTCTTAATTATTGAGAAACAACGTTGTTTTCCATTTTTTTTAGTTTCCGTGTTTATTTCAGTGAGTTTAAAATTAGCAACCCAATCGTAGGATACTTTCTGGTTTCCCCAGGGGATGGGAGGTTGGCTTCCAGTTATGATTACCCGAATATTTTTAATTGGGTACTGTGAGGGTAGCAAGTGTTTCACACTTTCACACTTTCAGTTTTCATTTTTATAGTTAGACGATTTCTTTTTTTGAATCGTGCTTCCAATTATGAATGCTTAAATCATTTTAGTTTCCGAGATATGACGTTTTCTTATGACTTTAGGGAAATTTAGGTTTAAAAAACTCTACAACCCTACGCTGGGATGCTCTTAGGTTTTTTCAGTGGTTGCAATTTTGGACTCCAACCATTTCTGAAGGCTTTATAAGTTTTCCAGGTATGATTTTTTATGCTTTTTGAAAATTTGAGTTAATAAAAAACTTTTTTAATTTGAATTAAAATATGTTTCCATTGTATGCCGTTTTTTTATGAGTTGTCTGAAATTCGAAGCACCGGAGGTGCATTACACGGTAGGTTCATTTTTGCACTCAGTTTCAATATGGGCTAATTTTAATAAAATCTATAAGTCATAAAAATTCTGGAAATTCAAAAAGCTTTAAAACAAAATATATTTTTTCAAATTTTAACATTTCAATTTAAAATATTTCCAAAAAAGTTAATATTTGTTTTTTGTCTCCTTGCATTTCTTGACGCTAACAGCTATTTTTTCACTATTTACAGTTGCGAGAGCATTTGTATTGCAACCGGGTACAAGACTTTTTCCCGTGAACATTTTTGTTCGCATGACTCATCTCCCGGAGGCCTAGCACAGGAGACGAGTTATCTCCTGGAGGTCTCTGTTAGAAATTTTCAGGAACACACATATTTTGAGCGATTCTGCCTTTTAGGTTCCCGTTTTATTCGAAGTTTGTGTTGGTTGTTGTAAGCCGACTGAATTTTAAATATTTCTCCCTTTGTTATTTGTTAGGCTACTGTTATCGGCCTACTAGCCTTCAATTTTGTTACAATGCTTCTTCTATCTATTTTTTTTTTCATATCAAACTTCAATTATTTCTTTTATGCCTCTCAAAACGCGATTAAGCACTAAATAATTAAATCCAATTAAATAAATTAAAGCCAATAAACCAATTAAATAAATAAGATTGAATCCTATATCAGTGAAGTTTGTTTTTAGTGCCCAATGGACCTCGCCGTCCTTCATTTCGACTGGGAATATCATCGGAGTCCATCAATAAGCTGACTGCAAGCTTGAATGACCTACGAGTAAGTACTCCGAATAACTATCTTAGTCATTGCAACTTGTAAATAACAAAACAATAACCGCTTCTTTTTCGTTAGATTGGGAGGTGGTAGCTATACAGCTTTGTATTGGTAAGTTTGTATTGTGAGGCCTATCTTTAAAAAAATTTTAAGGTCGAATATAATTAACTTGTTGGCTTTGGTATGATCTCGTTAAATGGAAAATTGTCATGATTGTCATTTCTAAGACTCGATGAACGTAGTTAAGACTCTTAAATAGGATCGTGATTATTTTTTTTGTGGTTTTTCAGAAAGTCTTAAAGTTTGTGAAATGATTCGATAAGCAAGTGTTAATAAAATTGAACTCAAAACTTTATTCAGATGAAAGCAAACAAAGCCCTGATAATACGGGGTAAAGCGTCGTTTTTGATTGTTATTATGATTATGATTACTGTTTAAGAGTAATAAACGTAGTGAGTACTCTTATATAGGTCTTGCTGATTTTTTGTTCGTTTTTTTTTCAGCAAAAGTTTTTTCAATTTTAATTTAAAGTAATGAAAGTAGTGAAGACTCTTAAATAGTTTTTTCTGATTTTTTTCAATTTTTTTTAGGAAAAGTCTTCAAAGTCTCTAATAACTACAGATGTGCATTCATACATATTTATGCATTTATGAATGAACTTTGGTATATATGCACTATTTGAGTTCAATTTGTTTTCATCTGCTGAACATTACATATTTAGCACTCTCCAAATACGAACATGGAAATTGCGCAAAAAAACGTGAACAGTTTCTTGTTTCGAAAGTGTAATTTATTTATCTATACTATATTTAAATGCGAGTGACAGCTATCTCCCATGTTTAAGCATAATAATTTTGCATGTTTAACGGAAGATTTTTTTCACGTTTAAGCTATATCATATATTGCAATGCTTAAGAAAGTTTTTTAATTAGTTTTCCGCAAAGTCAATAATTTTTCAGTATTTTTTTTTCGAGGCCAAATTAAGTCTTGTCTGTTCTGTTTGTATTCCTGCTTTTTCATTTTATTTGATTATGTTTGATGATGATTGATTATCTTTATCGATCTTTTTCTTCTATCTTTTTTTTCTATTGTTTTTCGATCCTTCTTATTTGATCTTTCTTTATCTTTCTTTTTCGATCTTTTTTTTCCTTTTTTCCTATTTTTTTTATCCATCTTTTCGATCTTTTTTTTCAATCCTTCCTTTTCGATCTTTTTTTTCTATCTTTTTTTTTTCAATCTATTCGATGTTTTTTTTTTCTTTCGATCCTCCTTTTTCTTAAATTTCTTGAACCTTTTTCGGTTTCTTTTTCAATCCTTCTTATCGATCTTCTTTCTATTTTTTTAAATATCTTTTTGTTTCTAAATTAAAATTTAATTTTTCAAAAAAAATAGACGTAATTTTTGTTTTCAAAATTAAAATGCCTTACCCTATAGTTGTGTGCTGTCAGGGTACTCTCAGGAGTTGCGAATCTCGCCTCCAAATTAGACTGCTCAAATCCTTGTAGTTTTCGAGATATGACGTTTTTTGTGATTTTTCAAAAAGTTTTCAGAAAACGTAACGAATTTTTTTGTTCAAAATTTGAAATTTCCAACCTTGTAATTGGAGGCTATCAGAGTACTTTCAGGGGTTAGTATTATTGTGGTTACTATTTGCTCAAGCGAGATAATGAAAGTAATGTCATAGTTTGAATCATCTTTTTCCAAACTAACTCGCATGTATAAATGCCCATTTGGTGGCACTTTGCCATAGTCATGATCTGTAGCATTGGCAATAGCATCTGTTCTCGGCTTTTATTGTAGCTACAATAAAAGCGGAGAACAGATGCTGTTTGACGATAATGAAGCCACCATGGCAGAGTTACTAATCTAAAAATCGGACTTTCAAGGGCGCACTCAGCAATAGCTTATTTTGTTTTGGTTGGGTTAGCATTGGCTAATTAGCATTGGTTATTTAATAGTAGACGTATCTGCCTGACCGGCTTCAGACGCTCTGAACCCAAAAACCCGGGCTTCGCAATCAATCGGCGCTCCCTGTTGTTGGGAGGTTGAGGTTGTGATATTTGCAAACATGGTCCACGACTATCGTACTAACACAACTTGCGTTTTTCCATGAGTAGATTTCGCCTCCCAGACTTTTAAATCAACTTTTAAAGACTAACTCGACGAAACAATTTCCATGAACAACGAGTTGATAGCAGTTGATAGCGAGTTGATAGCAGCGGCCGAAGCAATTTCATTTTTGATAATTAAAACAACTAGGAAAACGCATCCATACGAAAAACGTAACACGATGCTCCCACCCCCAAAGTCTCCTTACTGCACTATTCTGAAGTTTCCTCGACCGAAGAACTGGCTCCTTGATCCACATGGAGCGCTTAAGCGTAGCTATGATCTGGGCTAAGGCTCATTTTTAAGCACTTATTGCAATGAAATTGACCCCCCCCCCATCCCATCTCCGAACTGTCTTCACTGTCTTTCTCCCCACTCAAACTTTCGTCAAGTTCTCTAAAAACCGGACTGAACCTACCTCAATCGACCTCTGGTTCTGGCCGCCCGAAGTGTCGAAGTGCCTGAAGCTCGGGCATAGCTCTCTTGAGTAGTATATGTTGGGGCTGAAGTGGGGGTGGGTGTTGGGTGATGACCCCCATGTATCAACATAGGCTATAGAGTATCCGGTCATCACCCTATGTATTAAGATAGGGAATAGATTTCCCAATGTATCAAGATAGGTAATTGGATTCCCAGTGTATTAAGATAGCAGGTTTCAGATGCTAAGTTTTTTTCGGCGCTCGACTTGTGATAAACTTATTAAATAGATAGAATTTGAGTTACGGGCAGCAGTAGTAGCCCCTATAAAACCAAGAAGACGAAAGAGTTGGGTAAAGTTCTGCATTCGATCCTGCTGTTCAGAACGAGCCCGGGTGCAGCTCTTGAGCATGTCTGACCAACATCTACATAGAGACTCGCCGTCAAATGCCTCACGAGACTATTACCCCACCATTGATGAGCTGTTACATGCAGATGCCGACACATTCAAGAAACTTCTTGCACCTCAAAAAAAAGATAGTCTGCTGTGCCTTTTGCGAGAATCTATTTCGCAATTACGTAAATCCACACATATGCAACATCACCTCTCTTCTATTCCTCACATTGTGAAATCAGTGAACGAACTTTCTGAGTCTATTCTAAACGCAAGTTACTCGGCTTCTCATGGAAATCCTGTTAACAATACACTTGAGACTATCAATAAAAAAGTCGATGCTGTAGCCAACCGTGAATCAACTACAACCAGGCCTCCAAGAAATGAACAACTCGAAGAAACTATTGTTATCATGGGGTCGATGAAGCATCCCCGACTATCTCGAACGCCGAAAAGTTCACACATGAAACGAATAGCATTCAAAAGGTATTCAATACCTTGAAATGCAGCCAATTGGAAAATGTTGCTGATTTCCACAGAAGAGGCAAATTCCTTCCAGGGAGAAAACCACGACCACTCATCGTGAGGCTCAAAAGCTCGTTCGATGCTAGAAAAGCTAAAGCGTCTGCTGGGAACTTGAAAGACACAGCCATATTTCTGAGAGGCTATTGTTCTGTGGAAGATAGAATGAAAGAAAAGGCACTTCGGAAATTCAGATACGAACAAGTACAGAAGAGCGTAGATAAAACTACCTTAAGAATACGGGGACTCAATATATATTTCAAAACTGTCTGCTTGGATACATACGCTCTGTTGATGAAGTATTTTGCGATTTAGCAAATCCTAGCTCCTGACTGTATTCAAAGAACTATACCCATCTAACAAACGAAGCATCTCCCCTGTATTAAACTTCTTGTCCTTAATGTACAAAGCATCATATCGTTTAATCGTCGAGTGTCACTTGTAAATCAATTGTATACGCATCATCCCACAGAGTCAGTCTTTCTGAAATTTGGCTTTCTGAAAATATAGACAGCCAGCTCTCAAATTTTTCCAGGCTCAAATTATATTGTGGCTAGTCGAAGTGAAGGAGGCGAAAGCAAGCATGGTGGTGTTCTGCTAGCACTTCAATCCGGCGTCTACGATCTCTACAGTTGTTTAGACCTTTCCATGTCGAATATTGATTTCGGCTGCGCATGCGCGGTAAACCCACCTGATATTTGGTATCTCTTTATAACTCTCTATATTCGTCCGCGCGGCAGCGCCTACAGCATAGAGTTTCAATGCCCCAGAAGTTGATTGGAGTTCCTTCTGTTCGCCTTTGGATACCAGTCAAATGCTTATTGACCACATGGACCAATTTGATCTCTTTGAATATATCACCAAACCCACTCACAAAAAGGGAAATATTCTTGATCTTTGCTTTGTATCCAACATTGATGACGTTGATGTATTTGATCCTGTGCCATACTCTCTGTCTGATCACCATATGCTTTTGGTTGATTTTTACTTTCCTAAACCGATTGAAGAAAATAATCCGACTTTGATTTCTTCTCTGTTGCCGGATCAGTTTCCATTAAATTTATGTCCTATCACCCTAGTTTCCAGATTCCATTGCAAGTATTGATGATTAGGTTCAGCTACTAAAATTCTCCTAGTAAACAGCGAACAATCAAGACTTTTCATACTAACATTTGGATTATCAGACAATGTAAAAATTAGGTCTAGCTCGAATTAGTTTAATTCGAACGTTGGTTATTGGTAGTAATAATTTTCCACAAGTAAACAAATCAATGGCAAGCCTGCCATTAAGTGAAAAAGTTATCCCTGATCCTAAAGAATTTGCTCTATCAGTGAACGGATACATATCGAATGCTTCCGGATATTCTTCAGAACTGTACCCGTGAGAAGCAAGTATTCCTTCATTACTCACTGCCGACGAGTTGAATTCGTTCGATATTTGTGCTTTATGAGGATTTAATCCATTGGCGTTGTAAACCATTGTATTAATAAAATAAACTTGCTGCAAGACTCGTTTAGCCGGAGTAGTAAGACCCGGAGGGCAAAACGCATGAAGCATCCA